TGTGCATAAGATGCATGAGGGATCCTGGGATTGGTGGTGGCAGAGAGTGTCTTGGTATTGGCCCTGCAAACCCCTGGAGACGGAAATGGGGACCTGGTACATCCTGTCCATAGCTGGCACTCTACCGAGAGAGCTGTACCCACACAGGAAGGTCCCGACGCCGACAAAGGCCTGTGCGGACATGGCTGCTCAGTCTATAGTCATTCCCATGGCAGATGCTAGGAGAGGGAGAGCTGCAGGAATGAGAACTGATAACGGCTGTGATGGAGAACCAAAGGGATGGGAGGTGGTGATGGGTAACTTTGGAAAGAGCACAAAGCCCAGAGCAGGTCACTGAGGTCACTCGCCTGTGACCTCAGGTGAGTCACTGTGGCGAAACCCCTTTCTGGAATACGGAAAAAATGCTTTGTGAATCTTAGCATGTCAGAGATTGTTTTTTAAAAGTCTTCTGGCCAGGTGGCAGTGGTGCATGCCTTTAATCCCAGCACTCTCTGGAGGCAGAGGCAGGCCAGTCTCTGAGTTTGAGACCAGCCTGATCTACAGAGTTCCAGGAGAGCCAAGTAAACACAGAGAACCCCTGGCTCAAACCCCCGCTCCCAAAGAGTTTTCTGAAGTTACTCAGTACAATTTTTTAACTGTGTAAACAGGTCTCTAAAAAAGAATATGGTCTGGAACTCATGGAGACTCTTCAGCTGGTTGAACTGAAAAGCTAGAACTGAAAAGTTGGCACGTACTTAGTTGGCTTGAGTAGGCATCAGTTAGTTCAGATGAAGTAAAAGGAGATTGCTAACAGTCAGGTCCTCTGTGGTGTTAGTTACAGCCCAGGATTTCCACAGCCACGTGTAGCAGATAACGTCCACAGCAGTAATGCAACCGCAGAACTCTCCACCCCCACAATTGTGTTGGGCAGAGCTTGGACTTCCGGGTACAGAACCAGTGGGTTCGCTGCCCCCGGCCTTCTGTTTGCCGGCGCAGACATGAAAACTGCTGGGAGCCTTGAACGCGTGTGAGGCCTGGCTTCCCGGGGGCTGGCACAGTGCCCATCTGCTTTACAACTCAGCCTTCTCAGCCACTGGACTCGCCCCTTGCAGAAAGTAAGCTACCAGTCCCGCTTGCAGGAGCCCAAAGGACTCCTTGTATTGTAAAATGAGGAAATGGAAGGCTTTTTAAGTTTGTTGTGGGGTGGTTCGACACATTCAGTTCCCTTCTATGTAGATGAGTCATGATCAGAAAGGGTTTTATAAATCTCAGGCTCAGGTGTGTCCTGAACAAATACATCCCCTTTGCTCATCAGAACCTTCAATCCAGGACCCAGTCCAGTTGAGCTGGGTTCAGCCATCCCCAACAGCTTTTGGCTCAAACAGCCTGAAGAACACAGGAGAGAAAGCCATAGAAATTTCTCTATAGGGTGGCACCGTTGTGGACACACCACTGGAAGCCGGTCTAACTTGAGTCAAGCTCTGACCTCAAAACCCATCAGTTCCCTCCCCCGGCAGCTGGGAGTTTTTCAGATGCAAGGGCGGATGGCCCTGTTTGAATGCTTCCTACCGACACAGGGCAGGAGGCTTGGTGCATTATCTGCAATCTCTCATTGCAGGTCAGTGGTCCCGAATGCTTGGGGACTGAAGACCCTTTATTTATTAAAATCTATACCTTCTGTGCAGAGAAGCAATAATGTGTGCACAAATTTGTCATAATGCATATCATTTCAAGCCACTGATGGCTTTGAAAGTAGATGGGCCCCAGATCCAGGCATGCAGGAAAAGGAAAGAAAATAGGCAGGCCCTCCCTGGGGGTTTCCAAAGGGGAGTTCAGCTCTTGGGAGTCCTGTCCTCCAGAAACAAAGGTCCATGAAGCCATGTCACTGTAAGCCATCTGAGGACAACAGGCATTAGCCTGTAGGGTACTTGTAGTATGTAACTTCTTAATAACTGGGGGACTGGAAGGGGAGCAAGCTTGCTACCCAAAGTCAGGATGCTGTTCTCTGTAAGTAAAGGCATGGGCCACTACAAGTACCAAGAATGGAAGGACAGCCAGCTGGAAGATGCCCCTGCCAACAGTAGCTACCCTTCTCACATGCCAGGGGTAAAAAGACACATCACCCAGCAAGGATTCAAGCTCTACATGTGTCCCCCACCCCTGGACTAGACAGCAGCCCCACCCCTCAAAGAAGAGGATAGAATGTCTGGGAGCCTATAGGCCTCGGAGAAGCGGGGTCTCCTAGGAGCATCTTTCTGGGGTTATTAAAAATCTGTGGTCAATAGCTAATGAGACACCATTTTGAGTTTCCGCCCTATAAAGGGGGTGGTTCTCTGTGGATGTCTTTTTCATGGCTGAGGATCTGGTTGGCTCTGGGAACACAAGTATTGTCCAAACTCCCACCAGAGGGCAAAGAAAGGGAATGGAGAATGGACACACACCTCCTCCATGATCTGAGAACTTGTCTTTCAAGGAAATGAATTAAGGTCCATAGTCAAAGGGTTTTTATATAATTTGTGCCTTTCCCCAAGATCTGCAGAGCAAAGAGAGGGGTGGGGTGTGTGTGTGTGTATGTGTGTGTGTGTGTAAAACACTGAGATATTCTGTAGACAGAAAGTATATGAAAACATGTAGACTTTGACACATTCTTTGCAGTAAGCCTGTGTAATGGCTTCCATTTGTAACCCACACAGACTAAGCGTGGAAAGACAAAATTGATCACAGCTGGAGGGGTGGGGGCAGTGGTAACACTGAACGGATTGACTGAAGACACTTCGTAGTCCCATGCACAGAGGGTGGTTTCAGTTTGAATCCCATGCTGTGACAGAGTCCCGGCTAAAGAGAACCCCACACTGTGCACACACTAGCATCTGTGTTAATAGTGCCCTCTGACTCCTGGTGACAAAACACCATCCTGAAGTAGGCTGTCTGCACTGTGCTCATTCTGGTATTTTCACCCAAATTCAGGGAACCATGCTATCTTGGGGCTGACAAGGTCTTCGATTGCTGCAGTGAGACCTTACATTCAAATCCTCTTTCAATTACTGCCCAGTAAGCTTTGCCCGGAGCATGTGGAAGCCAGGCCCCTCTCCCCTCCACTTCTGGGGCAAATTGAACTCATTTTTTTATTATTTACATTTGCTGGTTGGTGGGATCATACGTGGGAAGGTCAGAGGACAACTAGAATGAATCCCCATCTGTCTTCTACCATGTGGGTCTCAAGGAGGATACTCGGGTCATCAGATTTGGCAACAAGTGTCTTTACCAGCTGAGCCATCTCATGGGCCATGAATTCTTTCAAGCTCCTGTCCTGGCCAGTTGACTGTCAACTTGACAAGTTAGAGTTACCTGACAAGAGGGACACACAATTGCAAAAATGCCTCTCTAAGACTGTCCTCTAGGCAAGTTTGTGGGGTATTTTCTTAATTAGAGATTGGTGTGAGGGACCCAGAGCATTCTGGGTAGTGCCACCCTGGGCAAGGAGGCCTGGCATGTATGAAAAAAGCTGAGGAAGCCATGAGGAACAGGCCAGTAAACAGCGCTCCTCCTTGGACTCTGCTTCAATTCCTGTCTCCAGGCTCCTGCTGGGTTTCCACCTTGGCTTCTTCTGGTGATAACCTGGAAGCCAACCAAATCCTTCCTCCCCAAGTTACTTTTGGCCAGGGTGTTTCATCACAGAAATAGAAACACCCTCAGAAAGCCTGCCCTCTAATACCCCAGAGAGCAAGATGTCACGGGTTTCCCATCTGCTGCCAACGAGGGGCATAGGTGGGACAGTGAGAGCAAGCGCACAGCAGCTTAAATCACGGAGGAGCCAGGGGCTCCATCTCACCTTGATTCTATCCCTGTGGACAAACCTCGCCAGTGAAAAGGGAACATACGCTCTCAGCCACCCTGGGCCCATTCCAAGCTTCCGTCCTGCAGTGCCAAACTTAAAGTGAGCTCAAATCCCGGGGGGAGCGTCAGATGCTTGTTGACACGTTTGGAGCCGCTGATAACTGCTTTTCGGAATTCCTACTCAGCTTTTAGAAAGGGAAGTACAAGTATTTATAGCTGTGAGTGAGCTATTTTCTATGGCTCTGCCCTCTGCCTGGCTATAACTCAGCCAAGTTTGCGCAATGCCCTCCTCACCCAGCCCTGAGCATGGCATCTTGGGAGACTGGACTACAGTGGAGCTTTGCCAAGTCAGGCACAATAACCACATGCATCATTCTAGAATCACACACACACACACACAAAAGCCAAGTTACAAAGACTAACCTGGCCATAGCTGCAGCTGAAGGTGTGAGGAGAGGCCACCAGACAGTCCTTTGAGCCTTAACATGGAGCTGCAGCCTCGCCTTTCCGCCAGCCCCTGGCAGAGGGCTTTGAACACAAGCAAAGCATTTCTCCTGCTGGGTCCAGAGCTCTAAGGGGGACAGTGGAGATCTACTGGCTCTGCACGGAGAGAAACCGAGTACCCACGCCTTCCCAGAATGACACAGCTGGCTGGCGACGAACCCCACAGAAGGAGCCCTATCTGCCAACACCTGATCCTGGGCTCCTGCCTAACACTCACTTCCTTCCCTCTGAAGAAGGCGCCCGTGAGCATGGTCAGCACACCACAACAGACCTGCACCAGAGAGTGAGGCAATTCACCCCCTTCACACAGGTGCTAAGACATGGAACAGAGATTCAAAGTCCGATCTAAAGTAAGTGAAGAAATAAGAGTAAATACATTCTAAAATAGTAAGGGAATAAAAACAAAACAACCAGAGAGAGAGAACCCAACAAGCTAAGATTAGAAGATGCCGTTTGATCTAGCTGCACCACTCCTGGGTATATACCCAGAAGAATCTAAGTCAAGCGTAGCACCGACACGCTTTCACACCAAGAAGGTTAAACCTTCTTCACAATATTTGGGTTATGGAATCAGCCTAGGTACTCACCACAGGGTAAATGGATACTAAAGAGGAATGTAGTGTGTATACACAGTGGAGTGTAAGTTATACAAACAGGATGAAGGAAAGCAAGGACGCTACCTCATGGCTACATTGCTGCCATCAATCACTATGGGCCGCAGGGAACTGGCTGGGTCTCCACCATCCTCTTCTCGGCCTGGGCCCAGGCCCTGCGGGGCATCGAGGGCCCCGCAGCACCCCCGGGCCATCAGCACCACCCCGGTGCTGTTGGCTGGATCCTCCTGAGCCTTTGGGCGGCTGCCGGTCAGGATCAACTCTCGCAGCACGTCATTGACCAGGGCACTGTCACCCAGTTTGCCCAGCACCCTGACCACGTCCTCCTGGCTGTAGCCCAGTTTCTGGAAAAACTCCATCTTGTTCCGACTCTCCATATCGTGCCAGCTGTTGCCTGGCCCAGCTCCTGCTCTGGGCTTCCTCCTGGCAGAGCCGCAAAGGCATGAGCTAAAAAGAAAAGGCAGTAGTCAGGTGTTTGCCCCTGGGTGATGAGGGCGCGCTGGGCACGCTCCTCCTGAGCCTGGCGCTATCTGTAAGGAAATCACGAGGAGCCTGGTCCCCGTGGGGACTGTCAGTGGGGTGGTGTGGGTGGTAAGCCACAGACGTAAATACACCTCTTTTCCTAGTGTGTTCTCTGGGGCCTTTGCTCCTGTGTGCCTGTGCAGGGAACGCTAGCCAGGGCCCAGGGTGTGAGAGCTGAGCAGGGCACCAAGCCAGGGAAGCCTTTTAGAGACTGTCATGAGCCAGGTGGCTTCCACCCACACTTCTGTACTGAGGTGATCCGCACTAACGCCTCAAGCTGTCTCTGTGTTCGGAGACAGGACCTTTCAAATCAGGTCCTTGGGGCACACCTTCGCCCCACAGCTGTTACAAGAGCAAGCAAGGCACCCTGGACTCCGACATACAGAGAAGGACGACCTCAGGAGGGGGAGGGGACTGCTGTGGGTGTGAACAGGCTAGGGAGTGAGGCCTGGGAAGGAGCCAACATTGTCGACACTCTGCTCTCAAACTCGCAACCTCCGGAACACGGTGACTTCCAATTATGCCAGCCAAGATGCCAGGACAGGCTTCACCCAGGGGAGAGCAACCACAGAAGAGGGCCCTCCCAGAAAGGCAAGGCTGCCCGGGGAATCCAGCTCTGTGCCCTGCCTCAATTTACATTCAGCTCACCCCGAACTTTGAAAGTAATGGTCCTGACTCAAATTTGGCTCTTCCTTTGGGGACGTCCAGCATGGCCTCCCTGTGTGGGGGTGACAAGGAAGGGGCTGTACCTGACAGTTGTTTTCAAAAGGGGAAAACCGAACTATGCAGGACACACTGGCTCTCTCTGCTAATCACAGAAAGTTGACACCATTCCAAATGGTCTTAAAATGTAGAGATAACCATGGCATAATTGAAAATTTCAAGTGAGGCAGGAGTAGAAGGAAGGTATAATCTATGGCCCATGACGCCAGTCTGTCCTGTGCTGGCTACGTCTGCATGTCTCCAGAGCTGTCTCTGTGCACCTACCTCATATTACTAGAGACACAAATATGGCCGACTGTCTCTGGCTAGTTTTGCACACACGATGCCGTACTGCGGATTGTTACTCAGCACCCTGCTTTTTCCCTTTAAAACACCTCTTGAGCATCTTTTCCAGCCAGTTTCTGAGGTCTGGCCACTGTATGCCCAGCAGCAGTGATGGTGACTGAATGGGTGGACGAACGGATGAACAAATGAACGGATGAATGAATGGATGGTGTTCTTTAGGATTAACCATATGGTCATCGCACATGGGTCATCTTTAATTTTCTCAAGAGACTCAACTGTTCTGGCCTGTCCACTCAGTCACCGTCACTCGGTGGCACCTATGGAACCGAGAAGTTCAATAGATTTCTGTTTTTAATGGGCCATCTACGCTGGGGTTTTCCTCTCTTCCCATGTTTTTCCTTGAGTTTTAAATCTCACAGAACAGCATTCTCCAGAAGTTCCAAAGATGGCATCCCAAAGTCCCCTTCAACTCCTCACCGCCACATCCAGGGAGCCATTAATTCTGTTTCCTGGGTGGTTTGCATACCCACCCTGCCCTCCGCATTCCCACTGGCATTCTTCCATCCCCCCAGCCCTCACGGAACACGCTTGCTGCTTCACACTGACTCCACAGAAACAAAGCAAAACGCAGTCTATCCTCAACCTGCTCGTAATCTACTCTGGAAAATAGAACGAAAAAATGTAATAAGTCATTAATTAATAAAAGTAATAAGTCATAAATCCAAAATAAGCACAGGTGGTTGTTTGGGGTTTGGCTTTTCGTTTGTTCACATTTCAGTGTGTGTGTCTGTGTGTGCGCCTGTGTGTGTGCCTGTGTGTATATATGTGAGTGCACGTGTGCTCAAGTGAGTGTGGTTGTGTGCCAGAGTGCTCGGTGGCAGAGGACAACTTTAAGTTCCTCTTCTCTCCTTCCACCAACGTGGGTTCTGGGGCTGGGACCGGGGTTGTGGGTCCTGGGGCTGGGACCAGGGCTGTCTGTTTGGTGGTGTGTGCCCTCACTTCCTGAGCCACCTCTCTAGCCCAGAACAATTGCTTTGACTAGAAAAAAAAAAAGTGCTTTCAGAGGCTGGAGAGACGGCTCGATAAACACTGAGAGCACTTGCTGGTCTTGTGAAAGACCTGAGTTTGGTTCCCAGCAGTCACGTGGTGGCTCACAGCCATCTGTAACTCCAGTTCCAGGCAATGCGATGCCTTCTTCTGGCCTCTAAGGGCACCAGGCGCACACCTGGGGCACGCATGTGCGTGCAAGAAAAACACTCACACACACAGAATAAATACATCTAAAATATTTTTAAAGAGAGGAAACTGTGCTTTCAAGGCACAGATGAGGAACGACTTCTCTCCTTTTGAGAGCTATGGGGCGAAGTTCGGGCTCAGCAGGGAAAGCACTCACCAAGTCCGATGACTCAAGTTTGATCCTCTGAGAGAATCGACTTATGGGGCTTGTCCACATACAGTAAGTAGGCAACATAAAGACGGTGTAGGGAAAGGCCAGTGAAGTCCTCAGAGAACTGTGCGGCCTGTGAAATGACCCCAGGGTCTCCACGTGCCGTTTGCCCCACCTCACCCAACAACACTAACGCCAAGTCACTCAAAGACTCAAGCAAACTTCCACATTCCTCCATCCTTCACAAAACTCATCCACATGAGAGTCAGAGCCTCACAGTTGGCCCTGGACAACCTCCCACCTCTCAACCACGTCTCTGGTCTAGCCTCACCTCTCTGTGTCTAGTGAGCAGGTCTTCTCCACCAGGACCCAGGGCTAGGGTCCAGCTTTGGACCAAAGTTCACATAGGAAGTGGGCACTCACCAGTCTGATAGGTCACTTCACACTGGGCTGTCCCCTACATGGACCGTCTGTTCCCTTCATAGGCTGCTGTTACATTTTCTGGAAGCTTTCAAACCTTGATGCTCCATCAGTGCTCTGTCCCTCACTGCGCATGCACGTCCACACTTAGTTCAGAGAGAAGGGAAGAGCAGAGAGGCTGAGCAGAGACAGAAGCACCCATGTTCCCACTGTGACTTTATGGCCTCTATATCATTGTTATGTTATGATATAGAACTTCCTGCTTTTCTTCGTGGGAGAACAGTCTAAATGTGCACGGTGTCCTTTTCAGGACTGAGAACGCTGAGACTACAGAGCTAGTGAATGGCAGAGCGTGGCCCTCAGTCAGCTCCAGAAATAACTTGTTGTTTTGAGTCACAGGCTCAGCACAGAGGCAGCACCTTACCGTTGCATAAATGGAAAAATGAAAACCGAGTGAGTGGCTTCCCTTCCGTCTCACAGAAACGTCTCTGTGAAGAGTTCCCTGTTCATCTTGTAACTGCTGCCAGGACAAAAGCAAGGACACCTAAAATGAAAATATTTGTGCCTGCCGAGGTAAGTAGGCAGATCTGGGGCCTTCCTTCCTTTCCATGGGGCCAGTAAGTCATCACCCACAGAACCTTTTCTGAGAAGATTTTCAAGAGGTATGTGTGCCACCAGACAGCTGTTTTTACACAAAACTAACAGACAGTTCACCTGCTTTAGAAAAGAATTCTCCCCCGGGACCTCAACAGCAACTTTAGTTCCCTTTAAAACAAATGACTTCTAAATAGGGCAGGAGCCGGGGGCTGGGGCTGCCCTCTGGAGCCTCCGTACCCCAAGGACCCGCTCGCTGAGCTGTTTGCACTCAGCTGCTTGAGTGTGACCTTGCTATTTTTAAAACCTGAGAGCCTTGAACAGCTTCAGTCTTCTTCCTCAGTCTTGACTGGAAGTCACAAATAGCCCAGAATATTAGTAATAAAATCTTGTGGATTTCATCATTAGACCTTGCAATGGGCGGCATCCAGACCTCTTCTCCCTTAGGCCTGACCGACAGCAGAGGCAGCCGTCCTGGGAGGAGATCCCTTCCAGAAACAGCAAACCTGGGTCTGAAGAGTCCCCACACTGAAGGCTTGGAACCTCTGCCTGGAAGATTCTCTGGGGGAAAGTGAGGAGAGACTGAAAGAAAAGGGAGGGATAGGGGTACCGGAGGAACAGCAGCCCCTGTACGCGCAGCGCTGCCTAGTTATGAGGGGCTGCCCTACACTGTGGAAGCCCCAACTTCCTTTTGAGGTGGAAGGAGCCAGCCTGTTCCTCCTGTCATGGTTTCTGTGAGGAAACTTAGGGAAAGAGCCCTTGGTGACTTGCCCAGGGTGCTGAGAGCTACAAAATGGGAGAGCAGGGAATTTGCCGCCCAGAGCAGGGAGCTCCCTCCAGCGGCCACCTGTAGCGCACACCCAGAGCCCTGAGCCCCAAAAGACCACTTTGAAGTCAATCACCACAGTGAGGAAAATGTAGCCTGGCCAGAGCTTTTCTACAACTTGATGAGCGTGGTAGGTCAGCACAGATTTCCAGCCCTCTGTGGAACGAGCTGTCAGTCAGATTTGCTTTGGTTTTGTCAGTTAGAGTTTGAGGAAGTCACAGAGAATCTAAGATTTCATCCCACTGGACTGATTTTTTTTTTTTTTTTTTTTTTTTTTTTTGTCTGCTCACCTCTGTCTTTTTAAAGAGAATTTCTAATTTTAAAAAATAATGGGCTAGGCCTGTAGCTTAGTGTTGGGGTGCTTGGCTGGCAAGTGCAAGGCCCCATTTTAATCACTTCTGAGTCCACAGTCCTGTGTCCATGCGTCCATGTCCTGAGAAGCACCCCCTGCCCAGCTAGCAGCCATCTTTTCACTGCCTCTACGAACCTGAGCTTGCCGACTCAGGACGTCGCTCCTGAGAGGAGTCATACGGCATCCAGATGGCGTGTGTCTGACACCATTCGCCTCACTTAGCTTCCTCTCCTCCGGGACTATGCATGCTGTGCTGGGCACCAGAATTCCCTCTCCTTTTGAA